TATATCTGGTATCTTATTTTCATTAATAAGATATCTTGACATGTCACATAGGTTATTATACTGTCTGTCTCTGTATTCTTCAATAAGTGGACAATTAAGCACATAGTGTTCAAGACAGTGACCATATGCCTGATCACATAATTTACATTTAGTTTGATCATCATCTGTGTGTCTCCCAAACTGCCAGAAGTACTTGTAACCAAGCCTAAGCCTGGCCACTACAACATCAGTCAGTCTGTTCACATTGCAAGTTGCTCCATAAACATACTTATCTACGTTCATGTTATCATAGTGGGTTATCGATCTACTCAGGCTTCTAACTGCATTCCTATAACAATCATTTTCATTATTTACTTCTCTCCTAATATTATTCCTAATGCTAGACACAGTTATACCAAAGTTATATTCTACATTCTCCTTCTGGGTACTCTTCATGGCTAACATATCAACTTTATCATGAAGGAGTAATCCAATGTGTGATGGGATCCATAGCAATTGTACATTAATTCCTTTGTCCCTAATTTTTGAGTATCTATACCTGGCTTCTCCAATGAGCATGTTGTTGGAGTCATTATATGAGTCAAGAGCCTTCAAGAGATGGTGTGGAAAATACTGTATATTTTCCAGAAATACGGTAATTTATAGGTAAATAGATGGCATATATTGTATTTAATAAAAATTATGTTATCGAAAATGGGAAACCCTGTGCCTGCGCAGAAGGCACTCGCCATTGTTGTTTGAATGGAGTAACAGACATTAGTTAATAATGTGAAGAATTTTCGTGCTCTTGAGGTAAAATTGGGCTGACACCTCTCAAATAGGAGCCGAAATTGTCGGATGTGCAGTCTTGCATAACGAGATATCAGACGACTGGACAAGACAGCTCCAGGAACCTCAGATAAGCTATATAGATTTGTGTTATAATTCTGGCCAGTATTATTTTCATAAATTTAGTTAGAATGAAGTTTTCTGAGTATAATACACCTTGATCTCCAGTCAAATTGGTGAGTGATTTTAAGATATTCTCCTTCTGTTATGTAAATTGTGTATATATATAATCCTTTATTAATTTTAATATACAGTCCACAAATTTATATATTTACCAGCATTCCTGGTGATACATATTTCATTTGTAATTAATAGGTCCAGAGCAACTTGTGGATATGACAGTGGTAGGTATCGAAGGGGGACATTTTTGCGACCTAGGTGTCCCAAATTCCTACTTGTCTAACTGATAAATAATAATTATCTTTGTTCATTTACTGTTATGTACATAATGATACATTCAGATAAATGTAATTTTCCATTGATGGTTTGGCTGGGCGTCTGGAGTCGGGAGGCTCAGGTCGTGTGTTGTAGTTGGTGTGTCGTGTGTTTGGCTACACTTCGTTGATGATAGAGCCGCACTTGAGTCGTTTGAAGTCTCTCTTGGTCATGTGGAATAGTTGCATTCTGAGGTTGGAGCAGTTCAGGTTCGTCACGAGGAAGGATAGCACGTTTTCAAAAGGGATTTGGTGAGGGTGTTTGCAGGTGCACTTGACGGCTCCCTCCTTCAATAAATGGAGCAAATCAGCTGCACTCATTTAGGTTGGGAGGTTGGGGGTGATGTAGAAAGTTAAAGATCCACTAAAGGTTTGGTATAGGTAACGGTTGCCTTTGGTTTCTTCTTCGGTTACTTCTTCGTCGTCAGAGGGTTGTTCATAATGCTCTGGTTCCATGTCGTCTTCTGTGATTGTGTTGAGAGGAGACAGGGAGCGTGGGTCGGTTGTGGTTTGTTGGGCTGGTGGAGGTGGGTGATAAGAGGTGGCAGTAGACGATGGTTTTGGTTCTGGAGTAGAATCTTGGTCAGAGGTGTGAGTGGGGCCTGAGGTTGAAGTGAAGTTCACAATGTCAGGTATTAGCTTGAGGAGGTCTTGTGATGGTGGTGAGTCTGGGAAGTTGAAGTTTGGCATGTTGTTAAGGCGAAACAGTTCATTGATTGTTGTGTTGAAAGAGCCAGGGTTAGCAGCATTGGCAAGGTGGGCATACATCATACAGTACAGCACCTTGGACGGAGCGGCGTCGGGAAGAGCAGAGAGGGAGTTGCTAGATGACTGTTGAGTAGCTTGAAGGATTTTAGTGGTATCTGACTGGAGTTTGGAGATGGTGGCGCATGTCGGCGACTTGTGGCTGTTCTTTTTGGTTTCTTCAATGATTTTTTTGGACAGGACTTCTTTTCGTAAAGGGTAAAGCGTACTCATGTCGCCCCTACTTTTCACTGGGGGGGGGGGGGAATGCTGCACCTCCTGCCGAGTCTTTTGCTTTCGTAGGGAGTGATTCCGTGTATAGATTTGGAACCAGTCCCTCTAAGATTTTCCAGTTGTATATTATATTGTCTAAAATATTTGAAAGAAAAATACTATATAAATAAATATTTTCATATATGACTAAGTACAAAATTCTCTCTCCCTGGTAATACAGATTCAAACCTGGTGGCTAAAGCTCCCGCTTCACACACGGAGGGCCCGGGTTCGATTCCCGGCGGGTGGAAACATTTCGACACGTTTCCTTACACCTGTTGTCCTGTTCACCTAGCAGCAAATAGGTACCTGGGTGTTAGTCGACTGGTGTGGGTCGCATCCTGGGGGACAAGATTAAGGACCCCAATGGAAATAAGTTAGACAGTCCTCGATGACGCACTGACTTTCTTGGGTTATCCTGGGTGGCTAACCCTCCGGGGTTAAAAATCTGAACGAAATCTTATCTAACGATGTATTGATAAAAATTCTAGAAATAATTTATGCAGTGCTTTATAAGAATGGAATATGGATATCCAAATGGCATGTTTACTAACCTATGGAAGGCCTTTACCACTGTTGATCACAATATTTTAAAGCTGAAACTTTTTGGACTAAGTGATCACTCTTTCAACTGCATGAAATTTGACTTAAATAACAAGCTCCAACGAGTTAGAGCAAATTATTTTACAACATCTACCTTGTCAGTTAATAGTGATGTCCCCCAAGGCAGTTGACAACTGAGACATTTGTGCAACAATAACAATAATAATAGATAAGATAAGATTTTCTTGGAGATGAAGGGTTCAGAGAACCGACAAGTTGATAAATTAGGCACACGTGCAACACTTGGGTATGTTCTCCTTTGTATGGACTGATGAAGCCACTGTGTGGCGCAACGTTTCCTCAATAAAGATACCCAAGTGTTGAACATGTGTCTAATTTATCAACTTGTCGGTTCATTCATCTACATTCCTGTCTGACACAGTAACATCTTGGGATCATAACACAGGGAATTCTTCACTTGAAGACTGAGACACTTATGCAACATATGGGAATCTTTATTCAGGAAACGTTTCGCCACACAGTGATGAAGCCACTGTGTGGCTCATTCGCCACGAGTTCAACTCTCGCCTGAGGTATGGTTTACATGTACAGCGTATACAGGCCTAGCTGACAGCAATGACACTCTTATATAGAAAGCCCCTTGGTATGCAGAGCATTTCGGGCAAATTAGGTCAATTTCGTCCCCAGGATGTGACCCACACCAGTTGACTAGCACCCAGTTACCTATTTTGCTGATAGATGAACAGGGACAGCAGGTGTCTTAAGGAAATAATAATAATGATAATCTTTATTTCTACAAGTACATCTACAAAGTCTGGTTGACATCAATGACACTACTATATAGAGCGCCCTTTGTTTTGCAGAGCATTTCCCGCAAATTAGGTCAATTTTGTCTCAGGATGCGACCAACACCAGTTGACTAACACACAGGTACTAATTTTATTGATAGGTGAACATGGACAGCAGATGTCTTAAGAAAACACCTCCTAATGTTTTTCACCGCCTTGCCAGGGATCGACCCCCAGACCCTAGTGTGTAAGCTAAGTGTGCTAGCTATCGAGCTACGGAACTTGTCCTAGGGTTTCCATCCGTATTGGGAATCAAATCATGAACCTCATTGTGTGAGCTGAGTCCGTTTCGCCGACCAGTGGCTTCCTCAGACCATTATAAAGAATGGTGGAAGAGCAAGCGTTTAAGGTAATCAGTCCCTCAATCTTGAAGGACTGATCATATCAACTTCAGGCTGAGGGATTGATTACTTCAAACTCCTTCCGATTTTCCATCATTCTTTTCTACTGGACTGAGGAAGCCAATGACTGGCAAAACGTTTCCACAGTAAAGATTCCCACCTGTTGCACAAATGTCTCAGTCATCAACTTGTCATTTCTCTGAACCATTTATCTTCAGTTTCCCCAATGCAGTATACTCGGCCCTTTCCTGATCCTTTGTGGTGTAATCCCACACAATCTTGCCATTTGTCTAGGCTTGCAGGGTAATTCCATCTGGACGCTTTTGGGTGCCATTGGATCTACATAGTTGGGGTGGCTCCCTTATTGCTTGGCATTTGGCTGTTGCAAGGATCCTCGTGATGTCATTAACTTTTTCTTGCCTTGTAATCCTTCCCTTGGATCTAAGGCATATAAGACCATGGCACCCGAATCGGTTTACCGATTCACTGCCGCAGATACACCTGTGTTCGGAGAGGATAGGGGGAAGGGCAAGGCGAAAGGCGACGCCATTATATTATATTCTGTTCCATAAGTATGTCTACTAATATGTATTATTATGTTCTGCTAGTATTTACTCTTTGCATAAGTGTGCTCGAAGTACTTTGCATAAATGATGGATTTTCCACGTAAGAAACCTTTGTATCAAATGCATCTTATTGGAAAATAAATTATTCTTATTATTTATCCCTATTGACAAGATCATTTTAAAATTGATGCCATCTTCCTTGTTTGTTGTGGTTACAGTGTGTGTCCGTATGACTGACTTTGTCTTTATTGTTAAGTATAATTATAAAATACACAGAAAACTTTTGACCATTTAAAAATTTATTTAATACAGTGCCATAATTATCTTTCCTGTATAAGAAATGAGTTTTTAATCGAGAAAAGAGCGAACTTTACTGGTGAGTAAATCGGGTGATAATAGTTTGGACAAGGTAGGTGAGGCATGGCGGCGTCTGGGGTGTTAGTCAGCTGTTCTGGTGCTGTCTTATCTTCCTTACTTTATGAGCAATTAAGAAGTGGCCATGCCCAGGTATGTGTCTTATTAATTGTCTTGTACAATTTTGTTTTATAAGATGCATAGCATTTGCCAGGTAGGCCTAGTTTTATGCACTTGAGAACGAAGTTTCTCCAATGGAGTGAAGGTGTACATATTTTTCTCATCTCTTCGTAAAATGTTGTGTATGTGGATAGCTACACATTGTGTATAAAAAAAAATTTAAGTAGAGAAATACAGCAAATTACAAATCACTAAGCTCATAAGAGTTATACAGTACTGTGAAACAAATTATTGGCCCCAATTGAAATGTCACTGAATTTTTTGGGTTATCCTAGGTAACCCCCACACGTTCTATGTATGGTAATTTGTGTAACTATATTTGTGTGTACCTGTTGTTGCACATGTGTCAGGTTAGTAATATATTATATATTCCCTCAAGGGAGGCTCTTCAATGTGAGTGAGGTGTTTTTGATCCAAGGACCTGACCACCTCTTTCTTGGATCAGACCTGATGGCCTCCAATTCTCCTGGCACTATATAACCCTTGCAGGTTTAGCACTCCTTCATGAATGTAGTAATAATATTAAATGAAGTCATTTGCTCAGCTACAGTTATGCCACTCAAAGGGCTAGTTATTTTTTAATTGTTGGAATGATGTCTGGCAAAGTCACTTTTCAAACTTCTAGTGTCAGCAGGTTATCCAAGTGACTTGTTAAAATATAATTAACCATGTGGTATCGAACAATATTAGTGCTTGCTGATAGTTTTACTAAATTTGTATGTTGGAAAACTCTGTGGCAGTATAATAATATTGGAGATGACATCTGACCTATTAGTGACTTTGTAACTTTAGTGAGATTACTGGCATTTGTTAGAATTCATTATTCTAGGTAATTTGCATTAACCTAATCTAGCATAAAACAAAGCACTAAAAGGAGCTAGTTATTACACAGAACATTAGAAAATAATTGATATGTGCAGTTTAGATTCTCCCTTTCGCACTTTCATTGAAAAATCACATGTCCTGACAGTCCAGCATCTCTCGACTGAGTGTCACATTTGTTAAAGAGCCCTAATGTGCTTGCTTTATCCATCCTCCTCTCCAATAGTCCCACCATTGCTGCATACACTCTTAATGGTTTCTTAATCTACTCTGACCTATTTTATCAACCAATGCCTTTCCTTCAACTCCTCCATCTCATTTGCTTCATCTCATCTGCAGCATTGTATGGCCCTTAGGGATTTAGCACTTACATGAATATAATACATAATAAAATGCCTGTGCTTTCCTTAAAACAGGTTGAGGACTTTTTTTTATTGATGTGATTTTCATGAGAAACTTGTGTTCTCTATAAGATTATAGTAGATTGTAAGCTTGATAAATCATATGTAGGTAGATATTAGCTATATTTTTTTTAAATTGTTGTAAACAGTCCAAGTACTACTCATGCCTGTAATTGCTAAGGATTTGTGTGTGTATCCAAAAGCAGTGAAGGTTCTTTGTACAACAGGCCTGATGAAAATAAATTATGAGGATGTCCTAGGTTTAGTTGTGAAAATTTGAAGTCTGTCAGATTAATCATTCTCCAGTAATGGCAGGGATTCCCGTAATTCTTAGTTGTTTTTGCTATTTAACTAAATCAAATTCGCCTGGATGCAAATGAAACTAAATGGGTTCTATCCTGGCCCAGAGATGCATCAGCTATTAAATATTGAAACCAGTCAGAAGAGGTAAACTGAAAATGATTTAATGTGATTTATCAAGAATAAAAATTTCACAATATTTTACACACAAAATAGTCAGAGCTTTACCTGCACATTTGAATTTTACTCCATTATCATCAAATTTTAAGGCGCCTGTATTGAACGTTTGAACCTATGCCACTGAGAATTTTGGAAGCCACTAATTATGCAATTCATTTTGGTCAATTAATCATGAGGCTTGCATGCTACTCAAGAACTAGGTAGTTAGCTACAATCATAAGTACAATAAAAAAGGTAGCTAATGACAAAAAGGCAATTACCGAAGAATTATATATCATTTAAACTGATTTAGTAGTCTTCAGTTTTGTGTAGGGATTGAATAGAGATGAAGATACTGAGTGTTTTTTATAGCAAGACTGATTATGCAGTGTATTTAAAATTTAAATGTACACCACTTCATTGAGTATCATATTAAAATTATATTCATGTGACTATAATTTAATGTTTTTCAACAGGAAGGCTTCTTATTGGGTCAAGTGCAGAGTCACATTAGTGAGCACATCAGTGATTCACAGATCTGCAATGAGAAGATGGAAACTGTTATAAGTTTGTATTACCATATTTATTTTTTTATTTACTGTCTACATGATTATAGTATTGGATAAATTAGCTAGTATGGTACATGTACAGAATGTTTGTTTAGTAAATGAATTCACATGATACCTGATGACTTAAGAGAAAATAAAAGGCTGCAAGTTTGTTTCAGTATTGCTGTCTGAAATTTTTTTTTGTCTTATGGTTACTCTCTTAGAGGACAGCTCTTGGTCAGAAGTGCGAGGAAAAGGGAACAGAACATCAGATTTTGTGGAAAGAAAAATTTCCTGAATATATTCATGAGCAAAATTTGGTATTTGGAGTTTGTTTAGGTTATTAAAAAAGTAAATAATCTCACTAACCTCATTAAAATCCCTGGTTAAATATAATTAGAGGTTTGTAATTATTTTACTTTGGCATCCCACCAGTGTAGCTGACAAATCTGAAGCAACTGCATGATGCTGTCATGTCAACATAGACCAGAATCTCTTAAGAATGTTTCCAGCTTCTTAAATATATGCTAAGAAGAATTCAGGCTGTTCTGGGATAAATGGATCCCTACCCAGTACGAGAAGGTGTACCTAACGAAGTGGCCACTGAATGTATTTGTCATAAGTTTCCAGTGGTTGTAGCACTTGCTACCTACTTTTATAACCCATTTTATTCTACCATTCTGTGATGAAAAACTTTCTCTAGTATGTAGTATGTACCATTTTAACACCTTTCTTAATTTATGGCAATGGACTTTTGTCACCCATATTAATGGAGCTAAAAAAAATTCATTAGCCATTATTTTCCAACCATTTATAATTTTATAGGGTTACAAATGTCTGTGTGTGCATGCATGAGAGAACCCGTGAGAGCTAGTTAATGCCACAGATATGTATTAATTGTAACTACATATTCTTATCTTTGCTATTCTGACTCCTTGGAAATGTTTTAGTTAAAAAAATCTCTTCAGAGGGGCTTCATTAGTATGACTCTAGGAACTCTGCTCCAAAAAGTTTACATTACATACTGTAGTTAAAATGGATTAAGCTTAAATACATTATTTTAGACTGCATACTTTTTTACAGATCTGTCATCTTTTCTGCCATGTACTATGATTGGTACATTCTACTCAGGGGCTGGTGTCCTAAATCATGAAAAACTTACAAAGTACTTGGGATCAAATATGGAGGTTTGTGTATACTACTATGTTAATTTATAAATTAACAATTAATATAAGTTTTCTGTATACACAGGAGTCCCTTACATACATCCAAGTTACAGGCATCTGTTCTTATGATTGGTTCCCATTAGAACCAATTAAATTTTTTTATGAATGTTGATCTATAGATGCGACCATCTGAGAATAAAAAAAAAAATTTCATAATTTTTCATTTTTTTTTTTTTATGTACTTTGATTTTCCACTACTTCTAGCCTCCTTGCAGCAAATCTCAAAGATCTTGTCTTTCACTTTGAAGTGTTGGCTCCACTACTCTGGTGCATTCTTCTTATTTTCTATCCATTGAAAAATCTCTTTCTACAGATACCTCAACACTCCCCCCCCCCCTTTTTTTTTATCTATTCTGTGACTCGTCTTATTTTTGTACATCCATCTACTAGCACATTCACTCCCTAAATACATATTGTAAATATTGTACATTCACTTCCATCATAATCCCTCCAATCTGAAATCCAATATTGCATTATTTAAACTTTTTCTTACCAAGGGTAGATCAAGTGAAGGGCCAGTGCATTACCCATCTTCCCTAGCTACTCTGAAAGACTTAATGCATAAAAAAACAGTAAAAATAAAATGTTTAAAAACTTTGTCAATACTGTACATATTGGGTTTAACTACTCGGCTGAACTCAGGCATTTACTCACTTGTGAGCATTTAAGAAAGGTATCCAAACACAAGTAAATATTATTTCTTGGTGAATCAATAAATCTCAGTTTTTCTAATAAATTAGTTATTGGTTTAACTACGTTACTACAGACACAAAGAGAAATCATTGAACTTGTATTTTATATTTTGGAATATTATATTGACTCGGTGAAAAGTTCAATGTTTAAATTAAAACTCCTAAAATTGTAGCAGGAGAGTCACATAGGGAAAAGTCACACATCGTTGTCTTGACATTTTAGTATCAAAAATAATCAAAGTGAAATCTGATAATATCAAAGGTTGTCTTGATAATATTTGGAACCACTATGGTAGAATTATTCAGTTAATGTATTGCTGTTAATGTATTGCATTTCAGATTACCCTCCAACTGCAGCATTCCCATTCCTCCTTCAGAATGCAAACACTGCCCTTCCCACCTGCAGAACTTGAGTCTGGCTAACTGGTTTCCCTGAATCCCTTCATAAATATCACTTTGCTCATAATCCAACAGCTCTTTCATTAAAAATCACTTTGATCCTTTCAGTTCTATCTTAAATTCTCACACAAACAGTAAATGAACATAAAATATTAAAATTAAATATATCTTGGTACAAATATGTGTAAATTTGCATGTCAGTGTAGTATGTGTGCTGAATGTTGCTTTTTTGCTTTATGTAGGTTGAAAATTTGACTTTGGGCACATATTACTAAGGATCGTCTGTTTGAACTGGTAATGCCTTACATTCACTGACATTTTAGTTGACATGGACAGTGTCAACTAAAATTGGAAATTGGGGCCTACTGCTTATGTATATAGCAGACCAATGAAATGTGAAAAAAAATGAAAGCCAATTATGTATATAATTGTATGTTATTGATTTTATTGTATAGATGTAGAAGCTGTTGCTCTCAGTAATTAGTAAGATGGTAAACATAATAAATATACTGTACTAAAGTAATTTAATATATTTAACATGATTGAAAAGTATTAATGTTTAATACATTTCAGTCATTTTTAACAGGACACTTGTTTAATAAACATTTGAGCCTAATTACAATTAAAATAATATGGGTATATGCACCTGTTTGTAAGTTGATAGACAGCAACCACCCAGGGAAGTACTACCAAGTCCTGCCAAGTGAGTGTAAAACGAAAGCCTGTAATTGTTTTACATGATGGTAAGATTGCTGGTGTATTTTGTCTGTCATAAATATGCAAGATTACAGGTACGTCTTGCTACTTCTACTTATACTTGGGTCACACTACACATACACGTACAAGCATATATATACACACCCCTCTGGGTTTTCTTCTATTTTCTTTCTAGTTTTTCTTTTTGTTTATTTCCTCTTATCTCCATGAGGAAGTGGAACAGAATTCTTCTTCCGTAAGCCATGCGTGTCGTAAGAGGCAACTAAAATGCCGGGAGCAAGGGGCTAGTAACCCCTTCTCCTGTATACATGACTAAATGTAAAAGGAGAAACTTTCGTTTTTCCTTTTGGGCCACCCCGCCTCTGTGGGATACGGCTGGTGTGTTGAAAGAAAGAAAGATATAAGTTTTTATTTGCATTGGCTTATTCCTCATTGAATTGTTACTGCTACTATAAAAATCAATATTGACATTTAAAGTCATTTGAATTCTGCAGTACACACAGCCAGCTGTGATCCCCCTCGTCTCTTTGGTGCAATCAACAATGGCCTTCCCTGGATAGTTCATGGATTTGCCAATTTCCTACTTGTATCTTTTTTATTTTTTGTGTTCATTTTCAACTTCCTTTTTTTTACATATCCTCTCAGATTCCTTTGCTAGCATTTGCATCCTCTATTGTTGTAAAGCTTGCCAATTTATATTTTAAAAACCTTCTTTCTTGATAAAAATACACAAGTGATATGACAAGGTACAATACTTTATATGTACACTGATTTAAAGAAAAAAACATGGTTTACCCTCATTATTTAAAATTTTGTCAGTTTTTCTCACTTTTTTCAACATTGATATTGCAGCACATAATTGGATGGTACCGCTGTCGGGGTTCAAATTGTGAAGATTTGTACTTAAGGGAAATGATGGTACATCAGCAGCTTTCAGCAGTTATGACACACACTGGTGGGCACTTCATTGTGGGCATCATGTCATGCCATCCATCTGGAGATAGTGGAACATTTACTGTGAACCACAAGTTCATGATGCTGCAGAACAAGTAAGACTGATATTTACTATTGGTTGACATAGCAGCCAAATGTAAGTTAGCAGTTATTTTAGCTGTTAATTTACTTTCCCTGGGATAGACAAATATTTAATTATTGACAGATAATTGCCCCATAAACCTTACTAGAAAAGGATTGTGAATTGCAGTGGACCCCAAGTTATTGGCCGGTTCAGTTATCGGCCAACTCGGTTATCGGCTGGTTTTTTGGTACCCGGTTATCAGCTGTTAATTCGGTTATCGGCCGTTTGGGAGGCGTCCATCCGCCGGCTGGGGCTGCTTGTGAGTCAGTTTGGCTTTGTCACTGGGCTAGTGAGGAAGCTTCTTCTAATTCATCCAAATATTTTTGCTATAATCCATTGTTTTTTGTGGTTATTGATTGAGTGCAACTGCAAAATAAGCAACCATGAGCCCAAAGAAACACATTACATAGTATATAAAAACATGCAGTGTTTATATGCCATGTATATTTAATAATTATCATTGGTACATTAAATGTCTTACTTTACATTAATATAGACATTTTCATTAATCCATCTATTATATCTTCTTCAAAATTATATAAGAAACACATTACATAGCATAGAAACATGCAGTGTTTATTATATGTGATGTATATTTAATAATCACTCTTTGCCACATGAAGTGTCTTATTTTGCGTTAACATAGGCATTTTCATTAATCCATCTATGATATTTTCTTCAAAATTATATAAGAAACACGTTACATATCATATAGCATATAAACATGCAATGTTTATATGTTATCGAGTGGAGAGTGGAATGGAGAGTAAACATTATATTTTCTCTGATGCAGCGTTAGAGAAAATTGTGAATCTGGCGACTGGTGCAGTAACCGCCCTTCATGTGCGTTTGTTTACAATTCTCGGCATGAATTATTCATTACTTCTCCCTTTGTTTATGATGGCATCTAAAGGTATTTGTTAGAAATGATTAAACTAAGTGAATATGGTAATAATATGGCTTTGTAGTGTAATAATATGGCTTTGTAGTGTAATAATATAGCTGTGTAGTGTAGCCCGGGAGGGGTGGGCTAAATGAGTGTGCTGTACCTACATCTACCACTACCTACGCTGACTTCCTACAAATAAATACCTCTTGCCCTACATTAAGACCACAAATATTTTAAGGTAAGTAATGAATGTACTGTAGCGGTAAATGACAGATTAAAGAGGTGTGTGCAATGTGGACTAGGGTGCAAGCTTTTGTAGAGAAACACCACCCTGACCAAGCTGAAACAAGCCATATCTGCAACATGTTCAGTGACAAAACCCTGTTCCACTTCAGGGAAATCTTAAAGAGATGCCAGAAACAGACCTCTATGGACAGATTTGTTGAGACAGGGGTCCAGTGACTCTCAAGCTGGTCCTAGTGGCATTAAAAAACAAAGAAGGGAAGTAACCCCAGAGAAGGCTTTGCTACCTAAAGTCTTTATGGAGGGAGGATTTCCCTTCCAAAACACTAACTCCTCCCTCTTTCCACTTCCCTGTCTTCCAGAAGCCAGAATTAGCGTTCAATAAAGGTATGTAATCCTTACATAATTGTTAAAAAAATTTATTTTTTTGCGAATATTTTTGTCTGGAACGGATTAATAGTATTTCTATTAATTCTTATGGAAAATATTAATTCGGTTTTTGGCCATTTCGGTTATCGGCCGACCTTCCGGAACGGATTACGGCCGATAACCGAGGGTCCACTGTATGTGCACTCTTCCAAATTTATTTGTTTATATCTTGTGTTCCAGAAAGCTTATTAGCTTTGAGAACATTTTTAGAATAATTTAATCAATAAGGTTGCAATAATTTTATTGCAAGGAAACATATGCTAATTGAATATTACTGTGATAATATTCAGGGAAGCCTCCTTAAAAGTATTATTATTTAAAGCTTGTGTAAAACTACCCCTAATACCAAGGAAATTATTAAATAAAAATCAAATTTATCTCAGATCTTTCATAAAATCCCTCCTAGACTCTCTTGTAAAATATCCACCCCCTAATTATACTGGTAAAAAGCAGATATGTTTAATTGAGGCTGCAAAAATAAGCAGTTCAAATGTAAGCACTGTAGTGTAACCTGAGTGAATGATAAATACAATAAATAAAGAGTAATTATTACTCAGTAATTATCATTTGAAGGTAACAAGTTTTATTGGTAACTATTACTTATCACTACAATAATTGCACTTTATATTTTTTAACACATCTGCCATCTCCCACCAATGTAAGTATATAATAATTATTGGAGATTTTGTATCTTTTTTCAAATCCTTATCAGCACAGCACATAGCTTCAGTTTTGAAAATGTAGTGAATTACTTAGTAATTTATTAACAGTGATTTAACTACCAAACATAATTTTCAGACGTCTTGAAGGAGTACCCCTGCAGGTAGTGAACATAGGTGATACATCAACTACAGACTTTTTTCCTAAAACCCTCGGAACCTGCTCTGTATTCTTCATCTGCTGTTCAGAATGTTCTCTCCAAAATTAAGTAAGTTAACAAAAATCGTGTTAGAATTTCATTTAATAAGTTTTGAATAATGTACTGTATTAGATACTTTATATGCTCATTGATAAGTAGCTTATTTATTAGCTTCAGTATTAGTCTCACTTTTCTGTCACCCTTTATTTTTTTACACTGTTATTTTCCCTGACCCGACCATTTCCACATCACCAAAATTTGCTTAAAGTAGATGTATATTTTTTTTTTCTTTTTTGTTATTTTTTTTCTAACTTCTTCTTTGGTATCCAAAATATTACATATCGAACCTTATTTTTTAATTGCAGTAACATCTCTGGGTTCTCGTGTAGTCATTGTTCTGTTTCGAAATAATGTTCTGATAGACAAATAACCCGCACATAAAAGAGAGAAGCTTACGACGACGTTTCGGTCCGACTTGGACCATTGACAAAGTCACACTAACCAGAGGTGGAGCAGGACGGCTATATATAGGCAGGAAGAGGTAGTGGTAGTAGTAGTAGTAGTAGTACAAGAATTGTATATAGTCACGTAGGAAGCGAAGCTGATTCTTACGACGCCGAGTAGCAATAAGAGCAGCCTCATAAGATCGAAAGAGGGGTTTAATAGAGGGAAGAATATTAAAAAAGTTGGAGAGAATATTATGCTTAACTGCGGGGTCCATAAATAATAAAAAAGGCACAATACCGTGACTGGAACGATACACAAATAACCCGCACATAAAAGAGAAAAGCTTACGACGACGTTTCGGTCCGACTTGGACCATTGACAAAGTCACACTAACCAGAGGTGGAGCAGTTACGCGTAATATTCTCTCCAACTTTTTTAATGTTCTTCCCTCTTTTAAACCCCTCTTTCGATCTTATGAGGCTGTTCTTATTGCTACCCGGCGTCGTAAGAATCAGCTTCGCTTCCTACGTGACTATATACAATTCTTGTACTACTACTACTACTACTACTACTACCACTACCTCTTCCTGCCTATATATAGCCGTCCTGCTCCACCTCTGGTTAGTGTGACTTTGTCAATGGTCCAAGTCGGACCGAAACGTCGTCGTAAGCTTCTCTCTTTTATGTGCGGGTTATTTGTGTATCGTTCCAGTCATGGTATTGTGCCTTTTTTTTTATTAATGTTCTGATAGACCTTTTCATTTTGGTTTTCTTGTGTGTACCACACAATAAACAAGATACAAAATGCTGTTATAAAGAATGAATATACTATTCTTGAAAATGGTACCATAGAGTACTGTACTTTTATAAATAATTCTTATTGTTAGTTTTGTAGGATTATTTATGGTGCTTTGAGAGTTGAGCTTTGAATTATGAAGTAAATTTTTAAAGTGAAGGAAAGTCATTTTTTCCATGACAGTCTAAATGTTAAGTCTCAAGGGCCAGAGAATAACTGAGTAAAACAATCAAGTATGTATGTTATGCCATGTAGTATGTGTGGGCACAAAATGAAACAACAAAGCATTTCTCATTGATGCTATTAGTAGTCATTAGCAGCTTTGAGTTCCTTTGTAGTTTTATTTCTCTTTGGTCCCCTTCTTATTTATCTAAAGACGGAGATGTCAGATTTTGAAAATATGAATGCACAGTACAGTATGTATAAGCAAACCATCCAAAACTAGTTAATGTTTCATGTATAGCATAATATGTATTGTAATTTTTTTTTTCTTTTTTATTTCTTCTGAGGCACACAAAAAAGATAAGTGCTTATGCATTTCATTTTTTGTTCTTAATAATGCAGATATAATTTAATACAACTGAAAGCTTTGAAGAAAGCTACTTATTGCACAATGCATTTTGTACGGCTAATCATAAGGTTACTTAATACTTAACCCCCCTTAGCTTGGCATATCCAAAAATTAAAATTCTTGCATTGGGGGTTGGGGCGCGGTTGGCAAGACTTACAAAAATAAAAAAAATATTTCTTTTCAGCAGTGGAGAGCCAGGAGTATCAGAAGCTGAAACTCTCCACACAGGGTTGTTGAGCAAGCTGGAAATGCTGCTACCCAAGTTCTCCTCTGCTCAAGAGGAGCTTGAAAATGTTCGTAAAGAAGTCATCAAACTCAGGGAACTGTGTAATATGCACAATCTTAAACCAGGTATGGTAAATAAATATTTGAATGCCATGCTTATGTAATATTTAATGAAAATGCAGTTTGGCTGTTTATCATTGAATGGTCAAGCAAAGGCACTAGCTGTATTGTCGACCATGAGTTCATAGTGGCATTGGTGAGCTTCAAAAAGATGTAGATCATTCTTCAAAGGTACTAGTAACATGTTTAATAGCATTAAATTATAAGTGTTTAAATTGTATTGTAATTTGTTTTGATGAGAGCATTGTTACAGTATAGAAAGTTTCTGTATAGAGTTAGGATAAATAAAAAAAGATTAGAAATTTCTGATGAAATCAAAATAAAGGTTGCCATTGTTAAAGGAAATGCTTGGGAATAGAGTAGTAACAGATTTGTTATTTTTTTTTTTATTAACACACTGGCCGATTCCCACCAAGGCAGGGTGGCCCAAAAAAGAAAAACTTTCACCATCATTCACTCCATCACTGTCTTGCCAGAAGGGTGCTTTACACTACAGTTTTTAAACTGCAACATTAACACCCCTCCTTCAGAGTGCAGGCACTGTACTTCCCATCTCCAGGACTCAAGTCCGGCCTGCCGGTTTCCCTGAGCCCCTTCATAAATGTTACCTTGCTCACACTCCAACAGCACATCAAGTATTAAAAACCATTTGTCTCCGTTCACTCCTATCAAACACGCTCACGCATACCCGCTGGAAGTCCAAGCCTCTCGCACACAAAACCTCCTTTACCCCCTCCCTCCAACCTTTCCTAGGCCGACCCCTACCCCGACTTCCTTCCACTACAGACCGATACACTCTTGAAGTCATTCTGTTTCGCTCCATTCTCTCTACATGTCCGAACCACCTCAACAACCCTTCCTCAGCCCTCTGGACAACAGTTTTGGTAATCCTGCACCTCCTCCTAACTTCCAAACTACGAATTCTCTGCATTATATTCACACCACACATTGCCCTCAGACATGACATCTCCACTGCCTCCAGCCTTCTCCTCGCTGCAACATTCATCACCCATGCTTCACACCCATGTAAGAGCGTTGGTAAAACTATACTCTCATACATTCCCCTCTTTGCCTCCAAGGACAAAGTTCTTTGTCTCCACAGACTCCTAAGTGCACCACTCACCCTTTTCCCCTCATCAGTTCTATGATTCACCGCATCTTTCATAGACCCATCCGCTGACACGTCCACTCCCAAATATCTGAATACATTCACCTCCTCCATACTCTCTCCCTCCAATCTGATATCCAATCTTTCATCACCTAATCTTTTTGTTATCCTCATAACCTTACTCTTTCCTGTATTCACTTTTAATTTTCTTCTTTTGCATACCCTACCAAATTCATCTACCAACCTCTGCAACTTCTCTTCAGAATCTCCCAAGAGCACAGTGTCATCAGCAAAGAGCAACTGTGACAACTCCCAATATATATATATATATATATATATATATATATATATATATATATATATATATATATATATAGGTAGTAGGTTGGTAGACAGCAACCGCCCAGGGAGGTACTACCGTCCTGCCAAGTAAGTGTAAAACGAAAGCCTGTAATTGTTTTACATGATGGTAGGATTGCTGGTGTCCTTTTTTCTGTCTCATGAACATGCAAGATTTCAGGTACGTCTTGCTACTTCTACTTACACTTAGGTCACACTACACATACATGTACAAGCACATATATACGCGCCCCTCTGGGTTTTCTTCTATTTTCTTTCTAGTTCTTATTCTTGTTTATTTCCTCTTATCTCCGTGGGGGAGTGGAACAGAGTTCTTCCTCCGTAAGCCGTGCGTGTTGTGGGAGGTGACTAAAATGCCGGGAGCAAGGGGCTAGTAACCTCTTCTCCTGTATATATTACTAAATGTAAAAGGAGAAACTTTCGTTTTTCCTTTTGGGCCACCCCGCCTCGGTGGGATACGGCCGGTGTGTTGAAAGAAATATATTATATATATATATATATATATATAATATATATATATATATATATATATATATATATATATATATATATATATATATATATATATATATATATATATATATATATAATTATATATATATATATATATATATATATTATATATCATATATATCATATATATCATATATATATATATATGATATATCGGATCATTATTTAGTTGTAGCTACAGTTAGAGTAAGAGGTAGATGGGAAAAGAGGAAGGTGGCAACAACAAGTAAGAGGGAGGTGAAAGTGTATAAACTAAGGGAGGAGGAAGTTCGGGCGAGATATAAGCGACTATTGGCAGAAAGGTGGGCTAGTGCAAAGATGAGTAGTGGGGGGGTTGAAGAGGGTTGGAATAGTTTTAAAAATGCAGTATTAGAATGTGGGGCAGAAGTTTGTGGTTATAGGAGGGTGGGGGCAGGAGGAAAGAGGAGTGATTGGTGGAATGATGAAGTAAAGGGTGTGATAAAAGAGAAAAAGGTAGCTTACGAGAGGTTTTTACAAAGCAGAAGTGTTATAAGAAGAGCAGAGTATATGGAGAGTAAAAGAAAGGTGAAGAGAGTGGTGAGAGAGTGCAAAAGGAGAGCAGATGAAAGAGTGGGAGAGGCACTGTCAAGAAATTTTAATGAAAATAAGAAAAAATTTTGGAGTGAGTTAAACAAGTTAAGAAAGCCTAGGGAAAGTATGGATTTGTCAGTTAAAAACAGAGTAGGGGAATTAGTAGATGGGGAGAGGGAGGTATTAGGTAGATGGCGAGAATATTTTGAGGAACTTTTAAATGTTAAGGAAGAAAGGGAGGCGGTAATTTCATGCACTGGCCAGGGAGGTATACCATCTTTTAGGAGTGAAGAAGAGCAGACTGTAAGTGTGGTGGAGGTACGTGAGGCATTACGTAGAATGAAAGGGGGTAAAGCAGCTGGAACTGATGGGATCATGACAGAAATGTTAAAAGCAGGGGGGGATATAGTGTTGGAGTGGTTGGTACTTTTGTTTAATAAATGTATGAAAGAGGGGAAGGTACCTAGGGATTGGCGGAGAGGCATGTATAGTCCCTTTATATAAAGGGAAAGGGGACAAAAGAGATTGTAAAAATTATAGAGGAATAAGTTTACTGAGTATACCAGGAAAAGTATACGGTAGGGTTATAATTGAAAGAATTAGAGGTAAGACAGAATGTAGAATTGCGGACGAACAAGGAGGTTTCAGAGTGGGTAGGGGATGTGTAGATCAAGTGTTTACATTGAAGCATATATGTGAACAGTATTTAGATAAAGGTAGGGAAGTTTTTATTGCATTTATGGATTTAGAAAAGGCATATGATAGAGTGGATAGAGGAGCAATGTGGCAGATGTTGCAAGTTTATGGAATAGGTGGTAAGTTACTAAATGCTGTAAAGAGCTTTTATGAGGATAGTGAGGCTCAGGTTAGGGTGTGTAGAAGAGAGGGAGAATACTTCCCGGTAAAAGTAGGTCTTAGACAGGGATGTGTAATGTCACCATGGTTGTTTAATATATTTATAGATGGGGTTGTAAAAGAAGTAAATGCTAGGGTGTTCGGGAGAGGGGTGGGATTAAATTATGGGGAATCAAATTCAAAATGGGAATTGACACAGTTACTTTTTGCTGATGATACTGTGCTTATGGGGGATTCTAAAGAAAAATTGCAAAGGTTAGTGGATGAGTTTGAGAATGTGTGTAAAGGTAGAAAGTTTGAAAGTGAACATAGAAAAGAGTAAGGTGATGAGGGTATCAAATGATTTAGATAAAGAAAAATTGGATATCAAATTGGGGAGGAGGAGTATGGAAGAAGTGAATGTTTTCAGATACTTGGGGGTTGACGTGTCAGCGGATGGATTTATGAAGGATGAGGTGAATCATAGAATTGATGAGGGAAAAAAGGTGAGTGGTGCGTTGAGGTATATGTGGAGTCAAAAAAACGTTATCTATGGAGGCAAAGAAGGGAATGTATGAAAGTATAGTAGTACCAACACTCTTATATGGATGTGAAGCTTGGGTGGTAAAGCAGCAGCGAGGAGACGGTTGGAGGCAGTGGAGATGTCCTGTCTAAGGGCAATGTGTGGTGTAAATATTATGCAGAAAATTCGGAGTGTGGAAATTAGGAGAAGGTGTGGAGTTAATAAAAGCATTAGTCAGAGGGCAGAAGGAGGGGTTGTTGAGGTGGTTTGGTCATTTAGAGAGAATGGATCAAAGTAGAATGACATGGAAAGCATATAAATCTATAGGGGAAGGAAAGAGGGGTAGGGGTCGTCCTCGAAAGGGTTGGAAAGAGGGGGTAAAGGAGGTTTTGTGGGTGAGGGGCTTGGACTTCCAGCAAGCGTGCATGAGCGTGTTAGATAGGAGTGAATGGAGACGAATGATACTTGGGACCTGACGATCTGTTGGAGTGTGAGCAGGGTAATATTTAGTGAAGGGATTCAGGGAAACCGGTTATTTTCATATAGTCGGACTTGAGTCCTGGAAATGGGAAGTACAATGCCTGCACTTTAAAGGAGGGGTTTGGGATATTGGCAGTTTGGAGGGATATGTTGTGTATCTCTATACGTATATGCTTCTAAACTGTTATATTCTGAGCACCTCTGCAAAAGCAGTGATAATGTGTGAGTGTGGTGAAAGTGTTGAATGATGATGAAAGTATTTTCTTTTTGGGGATTTTCTTTCTTTTTTGTGGGTCACCCTGCCTCGGTGGGAGACGACCGACTTGTTGAAAAAAAAAAAAAAAAAAAAAAAAAAAAAAAAAAAAAAAAAAAAATATATATATATATATATATATATATATATATATATATATATATATATATATATATATATATATATATATTATATATATATATATATATATATATATATATATATATATATATATATATGCGCATGTGCGTGTCTGTGAAGTGTGACCAAAGTGTAAGTAGGAGTAGCCAGATATCCCTGTTATCTAGCATGTTTATGAGACAGAAAAAGACACCAGCAATCCTACCATCATGCAAAACAGTTACAGGTTTCTGTTTCACAGT